AATACACTTATATGAAGGTTTAAAATTCTACAAAAGGCACATTTAATGTCCAACAACCAATATTTTAGCAAAATGTATATTTTACTCAGAATTATTGCGCTCCTATTCGATTGCGCTCCGTCTCGTTTAGCACGCATGCGCGCAGCAGCGCTCGTTCACTCGCGTAAGCCTCGCCCACTCCTGACAGCAAAATGGATATATTTTGACACTTTTTAAACCGATGCATCGCATCGTTAACTTTTTATGCCGATGCACCGAGCGAATCGGGGAATCTTCCCATCCCTAGTGAGAATGAGTAATACTACTAGCGAACAACACTTTTATTGATTTGACTGCACTGAATTGACCTGGATAATGACAATGTTCTAAAAATGTTTTTTGTTAAATATTTAAAAAATTTTTTTGAAGGGTACGCAAACGTTAAGGGAACATTGCATTTTATAAATTTGCAATCATTATATGAATGTTACATCTGAATGTTTTCTGAATGTTCCAAAACAAGTTTACACAAACGTCCAACTAAAATGTTTTAGAAATAAAATGTCCCATGAACGATGTATAAAGAATGTTTTTCTGCTAACATTTTGAGAACATTATTAAAGACCAGATAACTTTGAATGAGCGTATTAATATTACTGGAAGAATGTTTATTCAAAATTTTGAGAACATTTTTCCCTGGGAGCTGCTTTATAGCTGAATCAAATTAGTTTCATAATAGATTAATTTTGCAACATAAACATGAATTGAACCAACACTGATTGAACTGACTTGAGCTGAATAGGTACTATTGTCTTTATAGAGCTGTTTTATAGCAGAATTTAGATTTGTCTCATATTTGAATAATTTGATCACTGATTCTGTTATTTTATTTGAGTTTATTACTTCAAAGCTGGTTTGAAACAATCTGTATTGTATAAAGCACTATAGAAATAAATGTGACTTGACTGAGACTGATGCAAAACATCTGTTTGAAACACACAAACCACAAAACCATAGAAACATTTACCAATACTCTGCACGACCAGATCTTTAAAAGAGCCTAAATCACATTGCTGTGCTGGGAATGACTGAAAAACAAAAGCACTATTTTAAAAATCACACACAGGCAAGCCACTCCGAGAGAAATCCCATAACCCTTTCTGTACATGAACCCTGCTGTTCCCACACATGCATCAAACTCCCATGAGGAACAGAGCGAGCGAGAGCTTCAGGCTCCTACTAACACACATATGGAGTGTTTCTTCTGCTCGCGCACAAAGCCTGACTAATTAAACAGGAAAGCGTTTCCATGTGGGGGTGTTTTATTCATATTATATAAGACATCCAAGATTACCATTCCATAGCAGATTTCGGTCAGCTCTGCTCGGTTAAACTTTTCTTGAAATGTACTGTCAGTGTTTGCTTGTGGACCTCTCTAATTCTCCCTTATGGTTGTTAACTCAATGCAAACAGTCTGGTGTGTTCAATCAATCACACATGCACACACAAAAGTTGCAATGGCATTACATAATGTGGTCGGTTCACACATGACATCAGATGGACACATTCTGAATTACCAATCACTTCAGATTCAGACAGGATGGTGTAAAATCAACAACACATGTCTGTGATTATCTATTTGGAATGTTCAGCAGATTATTCAAACTTCAAATTCAAAGCGATTTAGAACACAAATGGCGGGAAATATTGCCCTGGAGCCGTATGGAGTCAGGTTTCCTCTTTAAGAAAAGAGCAGGTGTATCCGAGTAGTTCTTTTCAACAGATAATAGCTTAAAAGTATATATGTGTGTAGCGCATAAAGAAAGTTAGAGATGCACTATTTTTGTTACATTATCAGTTGATCTAAGAAAATTAATTTAGTATCAGTCAATATTAGATATAAATTTGTGCATGCATTTAATGCACATTTTTACATTTAGATTAGCTTTGTAGTCACCTAACACTCACTTACAGTTAATCTTATAAATACTAATGATTCAATAACACTGCTAAAAGTAACCCATTTTAATCCAAACGAATCCATTTTTCATTGTAAAATTGTAAATGTTAGTTTATTGTATTTGACAAAATAAATGATAAATGTCATCCATTCCAATCCAAACTGTACAAAATGTTTGTTATGCAGCATTTAAAGTTAAATGTTTATTGTTTTATTTTGACAAAAAGAGTATCTGACATAACATGAAATAATTCTCATTTTATCCATCTTTCAAATGTTACATGTAGTATATAGTCGCACCATAGGACAATGCCATTATTGTTTGACTTATTGTCAATCACCCATCTGAACATGAAACTCTTCTCTAACTAGCTCAGATCTTGACCCACAACATCACCAACATCATTTTCTTCTAAAACCATATTCAAACTATCACACTGTGACACAACGGCTGGCGACACACACAAAAAAAAGCTGATCTTGGGGATGCAGGTTCGGATCCACCCTCCCTCTAATTCTATAAACATGCAAAAGCACATAAACAAAAGCATAAATTCATAAAGTTGCATACCTGCAAACCAGCCTGAACCGCCATCATTAGTTAAAAGAGAGATTCACGTCCACATTCTGAAAGAGACAGATAAAACGCTGTTAAAACAAAGACGCACATCAGCTCAGACATGCCAGTTATTTCACTGTGACAGGCTGGCGACACACACCAAAAAAAGCTGATCTTGGGGATGCAGGTTTGAATCCACTCTCCCTCTAATTCTATAAACATGCAAAAGCACATAAACAAAAGCATAAATTCATAAAGTTGCATACCTGCAAACCAGCCTGAACCGCCATCATTAGTTAAAAGAGAGATTCACGTCCACATTCTGAAAGAGACAGATAAAACGCTGTTAAAACAAAGACGCACATCAGCTCAGACATGCCAGTTATTTCCTGTGAACACAAACACATACAGTTTACTCCACTTAAACCCTGTCTGTCCCATCGCAGGATGGATAATATCGCCTGCAGTTCACTGTTAAATGTTTAACAATGAAAAAAAAAAATCACTATGACCAAATACCAGAGAGCAAGCGGCAAGATTAAGACAGTTCAGGCAACATAAGCACAGCTGAGGAAACAAAGCGAACGTCTCCTTTCCTTAAACACACACTCACACACTTAATACTCACACAATAACAGCCACACACACACACACGCTGTCAGTGACACGCTCATGTGAATCCTAAATCTCCATCATCTCCTCAGCGAGAGGCTCACCTGAGAAACACACACAGAGACGAATCCAGTCCAGCTGCCAGCAGACAATCCACCTGAACACCTCAACGCAGTAAATCCCACCACACACTCCTGCAACGACCCGCTGACAGAAGATACGAGCGCACGAGAGAGAGAGGGAAACACAGATTGACTAATGAAGCCGCTCAGCAAACCCCCAGCCAATCCCAGCCAAGCATTTACAATGGTCCCATTGTTACAACCCCCTCGTTCACTCACTCTCACACACACACACACACACACACACACACACAGATCTGTTTTTGTGAAAAGTGGGGACATCCCATAGGCGTAATGGTTTGTATACTGTAGATGGAAAAGTACATGAAAATTCTATTAATTCTTTCCTTTTAGGTTTCACGGAACATCAAAGAAAACCATTTGAAACTACATGGTTTTGCATAAATGACAGGATTACATTAAAACACAACTAATGTTTCAGTCCAATCATATATTTTCTCCTATATTTCCGAAATTGAATATAACATGTTACATTTTCAAAAGTAGACAGCAACAAATAGCTGCAATAAACTTCAAATTGAATAAACAAGTATATTAAAAACAACAACAAAGAATAATGACTTAAATTAAATATTGTATGGCTTGACTTCACAATAATTATATGTACTAGTACATGAGTCTGGATTAGTATATAACGCATTTTTTATGTAACATGACATTCGTTTTGATGGAAATTTTAAACACTTTTTGGATTAAAATTCTATTACTCATGTTTTTATCTATTGATAAAAGCATGAGTAACTTCTCAGCAGACGATTTGCTCGCCCTGATAAAAGACACGCCCACAAAAAACATAAGAAATAAAGACAGTGACTTTTGCTGCAGAAATGAGGTTGGGCGGAACGTCAGACAGAACACAAAGCGCTCTAACGTTGTAATCCTACTATAATGAACGTCTGCGTGAGTTACAGTCGATTTGTTGCTTTAATTAAATGCGACGACACAAAGGGAGCGAGGACTGGGGGTGTCCACTGTCCACATGGCTCCTCAGGAGGTCACCACATAATCACGTAAGAGGATCACGCTTCCAGACGCATCCCCGTTGGCCGGCTGCTTCTCCTCCCTCTAGACGTGAGCCGACACGTGTCACATGCATGTATGCATGCGTGTTTCTGTTTGTTTGCATGTATGTGCACCAGTGGCTTGCACATGGGTCCCAAAAATAGCCGGCCATCAATCAAAGCCCCTCCCCTTCCTGCTCTTTTGTGGCGTTGCTTGTGATCTTAATTGGCCTGTCAGTTGCTTTCATTAGTAGGCAGAGCCATCAACACACACACAAACAGAATTAATGGTCCTGGAGAGGATGGGTGTCCGATAAACCACGGGTCCGAAGCCCATCCCCCGTGAAGCAGAGTAAAGCCCCTCTTATACACCTGCCACCAGCTCTGGAACGGTTATCTAAAAAACCATGCACACATCACACTTTTAAAGTTATTTTTTCTGCACCAACACAGACTTGAATAAATGTAGCATTAAATCACTTGCTCACCAGTGGATCCTCTGCAGTGAATGGGTGCCGTCAGAATGAGAGTCCAAACCGCTGATAAAAAACATCACAATAATTCACAAGTAATCCACACCACTCCAGTCCATCAATTAATGTCTTGAGAAATCAAAAGCTGTGTTTGTAAGGAAAAAAATATTTTAACTTCAAACTGTTGCTAAAATACGAGTCCATAATCCATAACGCTCCTTCCAGTAAAAAAAAAGTAATCTCGTCTGATTCAGGAGAGAAATATGCACAGATCAAGCAGTATTTACAAGCCAAAACAGTTCTAAACAAATATGTGGGTGGATTTTGTTGTGAGAGACAACAGATGATGGACTTTTTTCACTGGAGGAAACCATACTATGGATTATGGACTCATATTTTGGCCATAAGGAACAATTTGAATGTAAAAACATCTTAATGATAGATTTGTTTCTTACAAACATGCAGCTTTTCGCTTCACAAGATGTTAACTGATGGACTACAGTGGTGTGGATTATTGTGATGTTTTTATCAGCTGTTTGGACTCTCATTCTGACGGCACCCATTCACATCCATTAGTGAGCAAGTGATGGAATGATACATTTCTCCAAATTCGATGAAGAAACATTAGATGGCCTGAGGGTGAGTAAATTTAATTTCTGGGTGAACTGTTCATTTAACCGACACTGGCTGTCTTGAGCTCCCTACCTAGACAGCAGCATTAGGTGCATTCAGTTGCAAAAATGTTCAAACATGCTTGTAAACACCCAAAATGCTGTCTAGTTAGAGAAATTACACACATTTTGGGACACAGTAAAGAACGAGATTAAATAATTGAGACTCTATAGGCTTTAGAGAATCACTTCACACAGTTTAAAGTATAATCCCTATTGAAAAGACCAGAGGAAAGCTATGTTCTCATGCTTCTACAATTACAAAACAAAGCTGCAATTCACCAAAACAAAGCGATCAACACAGCTCAACATAACAATGACCTCACCACAATGATTCAGAAATATAAGATCCAGAATTGCACGCCAATCTAAAACATAAAACGAGAGCTGTTCACACATTAAAATAAGGGCTCCAAATGTTTTTTTTTTTTTGCAGCGATGCCACAGAAGAACTGTTTTCAGTTTCCCAAAAAACTTTCAGTGAACAACAGTTCTTAAAAGAACAATTTTTTCCTTAGTTTAAAGAACATTTTTTAAATGTGAAGAACCTTTTTCCACCATAAAGAATCATGGAAAGGTTCCACGGATGTTAAAGGTTCTAAATGGAACCATCAATGCTAATAAAGAACCTTTAGATTTCAGAGTGCAGGACACCAATGCTGACAAAACCGGCACTTAAAACCAATGGAGACACTATGTGGCATAATGTAAACAGAAGCCGTTGTCATGGTGATGCAATGACTTGCTATAAGACACTAACAATTAAGCAGTCAGCAGCAAGCACAGAGGGTCTGCAGCACCCCCGTCCCACTAATCATCTGCTCTGGGTCATTAATAAACAAACAGTAATCCAAGATTCGTAACAATGACCAGCATGTGCACCAGAGATCATGGGAAATTAATCCCACCAGTCATTTATTTCAAGATTTACCCCCTTCTCCCTCCTCTCAAGCTCAAGAACCCCCTGATGCCGCGTATCAGGCAGATGGTCGGTGAAGTTGCAGGATATGGGTGTTTTTGGGGAGGCTTACATCATGTGCTAGTGTTTACACAAAAATAACAATCACAGAATTAAAGACGGCATGAAATTCACACTATATATTTTCTAAATGCATGTTCAAGAGCTTATTGTGAACAATTCATCCAGTGAAAATGTTTTGTAATGTTAAATCAAAATTCATAACTGGACCTTCTAGTGAAAATGATAAGATATCATCAGAATATGTAAGTAAAGATATGTCACCATTTCAGTTTCACTGCAACTTTAAAATAAAAACTCAAGCAAACTGGAGCAACAATAGGTAAACAATAAATGCATTTCCTTATGCAGTTATATGCATCAACTCTTAAAACGTAAAAAAAAAAAACAGTTTCCTTATTAGTGGTTGATTAATATGGGTTTTCAATGGCCAATGCCAACACCGATATCTTGAAAGCATCATTTATATATGAGAACAGTTTAATCATGGCAACAAAAGTGTGGCAACAGACACCTGTTTTACCCAATATCTATAAAAAAATGTATTGCTATGGTTTTAAAATGTCCAAATATCGGTTGGTTTATCGGTCTTTCACTACTTGCGCTATAGTTTTTCTCATTGTAAGCTGCTTGGCATCAAAGTGTCTACTCAATAAATGCAAGTTATTCACAACATGCCATAAAAGAATAACTCAGCTTCCTGAAATGTTTTACTGGCACATTTAATCTGTTAACAGCACTTCAGCATGACCAAGAAAATCTTTGGCGATAAACAGAATTCCCTGCCAGAGCTCAAGGACATGCTGAAAACTTTATGGCTGCAGTTTCCATCAGGAAACACCTGCAGTTTTCCCCTCCTCTGGTGCTGGATGTATATTTAGCACACATCTCTGAGAGATGAAGCTATAACATTCAGCCTAAAGCTCAGATGATCATCATAATGAGCAGTTTTAATGAGATACGTGGCAGAATATGAAACATGTTCGGGCAACATCTCAATGTCCCTGTAGAAACATGTATCTGTCAATCACCACTGACACATTCAGAGATAGACAGCTCAATATTTTAAGATCATACTAGCTCAAACCATTAGAATATGATCCACTATCGCAAATATGCGTGCTGTATTTTTAAATCCTTGCTGATTCATCACGCATTCTCCATGGAAAAGTCATGCAACTTCCTAACAATTCTCATCTTTCAGTGTAAATGACAAAAATAAACAACAAAAACCGGCTTTTATGATTTAAGACAGGTTTGTTGACATTTTATTTACTTTTCTAATAAAATTATCTTTTAAAACAAGGACATAATGATCAAATAAACAAAGTCCTCTCTCTCTCTGGTTTCGAGAGTTTGGGGTTGAAAAAACAACACGAATAAACTCACCAGCGTTAAATGTGTGTGTTTAGTTGTGTGTGTAGTTCTTTCTCTTCGCTCCGCGGCTGCAGGGGCAAGCGCGCGGGGGTGCGTTGAGCATCAGCTGAAGCTGGAGCTGCTTTTCCTCCACGAGTCTTGGAATGTTCAGTTGTGAGGGACTCGCGGTTCAAAACAGCCAATCAGAGCAGAGATCAAAATCCTCAATGGAAAGGGGCGGGGACACGAGAGCAAGTGGGAGGTCCCTGTTTCAATGCACTACATTACAGTAGAGAAAGTAGAGAAGACATTAACATGATTATTGTTTTATATACATACATACATATATACATACATATCTACATGCATATATATATGCATATATATATATATATATA